GGATGGTTATTGGATGATAAACACCAATAGCATCCAATAGCCAAGACTAATGGGCCATGAGGGTCAAAAAGGAACACCCATAATGTTGACTCTTGATAAATAGAAACCACCTATTTGGATCGTAAAACCATGTTAAACCATGTACAACCGCTTCATATGCTAATTTTGAACCACGAGTCTACATATGTCAGTAGCGGGTTGTGACAATTTTAATCCTGCTATAGTTTGGCTGCTGTTCAATACCCGCCCAGCCACGATGCAGCAGAGGTCGGGGTGCTTCGTTCGCTTAGTCGAACCTGGCTCCGGATTTCCCATGCGGTTTCTCGTTTTTTGTTTCTTTGGTCTGTGGGGAGAACGGGAGCACGCGACTCCTGCCGGTTTCGGCTCAAGGGACGTTGAGTTGTCTCAACTCTTCCCTTGGCCACCGGTCTGGAGGAAACAACAACGTGACTGACCCGTACGTTGTTGGGGCGGGTATGGCCGCAAGTGCCACTATCAATCATAGATTGGGTGGCTCAGAATGCTGAGTTTGGTATGAGAAGTTGGAATCGTTGTAATTGTCTGTGAGTCTTCAGATTGTTGGTATTTAGGCGTTCTGCCTGTGGCTCTTTGGGCTGCTTTCACATCAAACAAGCATATCAAAATTGAATCTACCATCTATAGGTCAATGTCAACGCCAGTACAACACTAAAAAACTGAGCACCAGTACAAGACTAAAAACTGAGCACCTCCCCCATCTGGTGAGTCAATGTTAGGTCCTTACACCCCACCGAACCAAGCGTTCCAACAGGATAAATTAGACCGTGGAATATCAAAGAATAGCCTTACCCACCACAGACTTTGGGATTGAACATGTTAATATCTCTAAGAAGAGACTGCTTGTGATCACAAGAATCAAAACATCTATTCCCTGATGATTACTCAAGTGTAGATAAAATAGACAACCTATCGAGTCTACAATTTAAACTTGTTGAACTTAAGCATGCACCCAGCATATCCGACCTATACATATATATATATATATATCCTTGGAGACCCACAACCATTTCAACACCCCAACAAAAACAATAATATTAACTGATCAACCGATCAACCTTTCTGACTTCCCACCGATGGATTTCCAATCCTCTAGGCTGGTTGGTTGATTGATGTTGATTGGTTGATGTTAATCCGTGGGCATGAAGGATCTCACAAACCACTCGGCCACCCTGTTCTCCACTACACCTTTAATCCTTCTCGAGCTGACGAGGAGGTTCCATATCATTCCATATCATTCCATCCTTCATGCTCCGGTTGCTCCTTTTGAGGCACCATCCGTCCACATCCGTCATCCGTCATCCGTCATCCGGCTCCCCGAAATCGATGGGACGTTGAAAACAACTGCTTCCTCTCCCGGTCCACACGGGGGGGAACCGTGGACAGACTCAGTGGACCTCGGCAGCTTTGCTGCGCATGGCCATGGCGATCCTGGGGAGAGAAACCGAGGCCGCGACTCCGTCAGGTGAAGATGGTGTCACCGAATCCTGCCGGTGTTTCCCCCCGGTCTTATTTTTTTGTTGGCAAACATGGGCTGCCACAAGGAATTGTGGCAGTGTTTTTGTCCACAAGGTGGATCATGTGGGATAAGATGCAAAGCATCGCAGAGATCGTGAACCGTGATCCAACCAGTGACACGCTCCAACCAGTCCCAGCCATTGAAAGCGCTCACATCGCCTCACCCATGTGCCAACGTCCAAGGGAATCCGGACGTCGCGAGCTTGCGATATCGATATGGAGTGACCCATCCCGCACGTCCCGTCAAAGGGCGACCGAGGAACCCTCTGGCTGCGACTTTGGCATCGGGCACCGCCAAGGCCTGGATGGCTGCCACTGGCCAGGGTCAATTGAGAGAAGCGTTCGCCAGAGATGGAGCTTTGAAATTTGCTCCAAGTATGTTTCAACAACATTCAACAACATCATGGACCCATGATGACCCATGTCAACAGGGAACCTGCAATCTCACTGGTGTGGCCTGCGGGCGTAGACTCGATAAGGTTAGCCTGCCTTTTGTGTTGAAGCAAAATTCGACCTGCCAGGGAACGGTATCGTGTTGATCACACGTTCTGGTGAAGCTTCATTGAAAAACTGAACACCGCCAGACTTGGGCTCGGATTGGGTGTCTCGGATTGGGTGTTTTGTCCGTGGCATTCCATGCATGTAGACTCATGGCCATCCCAAACCATGAACGACCAAAAGATGACCGTGGATGGCCAAGAAAATCTGCCTGAGCTTGTACCAGGATGTGAACGTGTTCAGATAATCAGCTAAATCAGAAGCCCCGAGGAGGTGACGTGAATCGCTCCTTTAAACTTTAAACGTTAAACTATATAAAAGGAGAATCCACAAAAGTTAGTTCTTTCAGTGGATGGTTTTTTGCTAATCTTTGAAAGCTTGCTTGGCTTTGTAGAAGTATTGGGCACTACCCTAATAAGGACCTGCTGCTCTTTTTCACATGCTCAGCTCATGTCCTCCAAACGCCTCTGTTCAAGCGTCATTTAATCAGTCCTTCAAGCCGTGTTCCAAGGCTTGGACTCTAGAAAACCAGTAATCCTTTCCATTTGGATGAAGCCACTTTTTGTATTGTCTCCCTGTGGGAGTTCTGTGCGTCAAGAGCTTCCATCCATCATTCAGGTCTACAGTTGAAACAATTTCTCCCCGCCGGCTTTCACCTTTTACTGCGGGGCGCTTTGCTGGAGACACGTTCTTGGGATGAATCCACATGTTCTTGGTATTGATCCTTTTCTTTGAATTAGCGTCACTGGCTTCAATCTCAGGATCATGTTCACGTTCTTCTTCTTCAGCGCTCTCATGCCCATCATTCAATGGTAGAGACGTTGCCTCTGCGAAATCCAATTTCTTGGGGGGGAATGACCTTTGGTGTAGCGGTTTCCTTAGCCCGGGGTTTGCTAGAGTTGGATTCTTCTTTTTTGGCAGCTGGCCGTTTCTTGGGAGTTTTTTTGGTCGTTTTGGTCAATCTCTGCAGCTGGTCTTTTCATAGGAGAACTGGATGGCGCTGAAGCTGGTCTCCTCATCACACCACCTAGGCTACTCCATGGGGTTAAGACTAAAAATTAACCAAGCCTATGTGAGCAAGCCCCACCACACCCAGAAAAGAGGACAATACTTGAAGGTAAACCTCATATTTTAAGATTTGATTGGTCTCAGCTAACCATTAATATATAGGGTAAGTCAAAGGTTACATTATTTTTTACTTACTATTTTTTAGTGCTCAATGTTACCAAGTCACGCCCTCTGCCTCTCCCTCTCCCGCGCTGTTTGATAGCTTCCGCTTTGTCGTCTTTGGGTTCGTTTCCTTCTGGAGTCTCCAAAAGAAAGGATCTCCGCCCCGCTGTCGTGGGTGGAGAAGTCAAGTGCGAGCCTGATCCTGTCGATAGTCTCTGGAGCCGGGGTTGATCTGAAGTTCCCGAACTCGCCGCAGCTGCGCTAGTCTGGTATGAGAGTAAGATTCTGCGCTGGATGTCAGAATCCATTCTGGTGGAAAAATGTGGAGCGACAATGCTGGAGCCGAACAACCTCGAGATCGCGGTTGAACATATCACTCAGACTTGTCCGAAGAAGTATCACTCAAACTTCTTCTAAGTCGTGGTCCCTTACAAAAAACTTACAATCTCACACAATGAATAACCCTTTGCATGTTACAGTCTGAATTCACCAACTGCCCTTTAATTGAAATCTTCTCGCACAGCGCAAGTAGTGGTCAGCCTTTTTCAAAAACATTCCGCCCATTGCTCAAAATGGTTCTTTCTACAGGTGACCAGTTGTCAGCTTGGCGTGCTCAGCTAGTGGTTTGTGTCCACATCACCACACTCAACTTTGTCATCTAAAAGTAAAGCTTTCAGCCCCAGCTCTGCATCATCAAGCAACACTTTGGCTGCATTGAAGCGAAATGCCACCTGCGCCAAGGAAGGGTTTGTTTCCGATAAGTCAGCCATGACTTTAAGCTCCTTTCTAGCACCAATCACCTCCTTCAAGGTGAGCCGGTATAGATCTGCCTTGAAGTTCAGACAAGCCTTCAATTTGCTTGTCAAACTCTCAGGAATTGTCAATGGAGGCGGTTGGCAAACTCTGTCAGGTTCAACCCAAACACTCTGACAGAAAACATTGTCATCGGTGGTTTGACCCCCATCCATCATGTACTTGGACATCATACACTTGATCACCGTCAAAATGTGTATAGTGTCCATAGCAATCTGTAGGTTCAAGTCGTTGTCAGCCCAAACAGACCGGAGCTTCATGATGACTTCCCTGATATTCTCCAGCTGGAAGTCGCATTTGACTGCCAATCCCTCAGGCTCATAGACATTCACCAAAAGGTTGAACAGGGTGAGGATCTCTTTGACGCTTACGCGCTCCATGCGCTCCATGGTTGAGCTCAGCACCGACGGCAGCGGCATCACTAGAGGTAAGAAGTAGAAACTGAGACCAAAACCCTTTGAACATCTTTGAACCAATCTTGCTAGCTGAATCACTTTCAAAACAATGCACCAACAAACGCATAAGCTCCACTATAAGGCGGGTTCTTTTTTTGAAAAAATATGTATTTCCCCAATCGTGTTTCACATCTCTTAATCCTCAGCAAGTCTGATCGTAGAAAACTAAGAACTCTGGACAAGCTCGCCTTATTCTCAACACTTTGCATCAGGTCGTGAAGTCTTTCCCAGGCTGTGTGACTGGCTCCAACTGCAGTCAACCTATCCTAGGACTGTGCTTTCCTACTGACATCTTTCCTCACCGCTCTTCACTCGCAGGAAAGAAAAAGCAACCTTTCAACAACCTTTTAAAGCACCACCCCAACTGCTGCGCTACTGAAAGAGCGATGGCGAGGTTCCCCAAAACTAGGCTCTTGGCTTTCACAATCAACCTGAACATGCTTGAATCTAATGGAAAAAGCATCTGACTCAAACCAGACAACCAGAGCTGCCCAAGTGCCTGCTAGTAGATCAAGCCAGCTTCAGTGGCTTCTCTTTCTCAAGGCTCAGTGCCCTAGAGGTGAGCACATATGGACGCTGCACCTTAAAATTCTGCCCAACCCTCTCAAATCTGAAACGCACCACTGTCACCAAGGCATCAGGTAGCTGATTGATGAACTTGTTGAACACGTTCTTGCAGGTCACTTTGTCAGGATCACGTGGGTCCTTGCAAGCTTTGAAGACCATCGGCTTGCTCACTGACACCTCGAAGCCGTCCTCTCCTGCCTCCACAGCCTGCTTCCGTTCAACCTTCAGGAAGCTCACGCGGTGCTGAGACACATGCTTCTCCGTCTCAGCGCGAAGCAACAGCTTGTAGATGCTCAATGTGCTTACCCCTTGCGCTCCCTCTGGACCGAAGGTGGTTTCATCAATTTGTACTGGTGTTTTGTCACCATCTGGAACTTGAAAGGGAACCGCTGGCTCTGTGCATTCATTGGAAGGTAGCCACTGACCAGTTCCGTACCCGCCAACAAGGACATGTTTCCCAATAGTCTTAGACTGTGAACTGAGCAGCCACAGCGACCCATCCTTGGCCTTGATAAGCTCCACATTGCTCACCTCGGAAGCAATTTTGATCTCAACCCCAATGTCAGACTCCAGCTTGGCAAGCGACTCCAACTGCACACCAGCAGCTGCTGGAGGGACTGGTTGAGACTGGGAATTGTCTTCATCTGCTTTTGCTTTGACCTGATGCTCAGCCTGACGCCCCACCAAGTCCAGGTGCTGCTCGCGAAGGTTGTCATACTCACTCTTGATGTCCCCAGTCTGCGCTGAAAAGAACCTGATTGGAAGACAAGCAATGAAAAAGACAAGGAACATTTCATTTCATAGTCATAGACTAGAGTCCTTTCTCTTTCAAAATTCCTTGCCAACAACTGAAACTCAAAACAAACTAACTAAAGATCCTACAAGAAACTTATGTTCGTCACTCTTTATCATCATCTTGTCGTTGATTCGCTCCAGAACCTCAAACTCCACCTTGTCAAGGTTTCCCATTGCCGCTGTTGCCGAAGGAATGCCCTCAATCTCAGCCTGGGTCAACTCTGGAGGATCACAAGCGTATTTGTGGCCGCCGTGCTCAAACTTGCGCTGGATCCATGCCTCCGTAATCTCGCGCTCCAATCGCGCATGCCCAAACGGCTCTTTGGATAGCCAACCCACACTCTGGTAGTAGAGGTTCTCTGGTTTCACGCCACCCCTCAACGGCTGCCTCCCCAAGCGCATGTTGAAAACCTTGGATTCTTTGTTTGTCTTTGCTTTTTCCTAATTATATAAGAACTGCTTCTGTGGGGTCAGGGGAAGGTCTTTCTGTTGTTGGTTTTTCATCATGGGTCTTCCCTAGGTTTCAGAGATGCTATACAAGCCGACTTAAGAGATTTGTTGCAATCTTACTGCTTTTGCTTTAGGCAAACGCGGTGTCTTGTTCTACTGCGTCTAGATAAACTAATGACATCAACCTCGAATACTTATTTGTGTGCCGCATGTGCTGCAACCACATACAGGAAGTAAGGTGGTGGTCTTTCAGGAGTACCTTGTTTGGTCCTCATTCCTTCCCTACCTCTCAAAACGTTGCGACATGGTTTTGGAGCAGTCTCTCTGTAGAAGTAGAAGGCTATGAGACAGCCGATTCCATCATTTCTATAAGAAACAAATTACTAGCATATGCAACACAACTCATCAAAGTTGGCTTCGTTGTAGTACTGGACATGAACTTACAGATTTTGCGAGATTCCAATCTTAAATACTGCTAGTTGAGATCCACCATGTTTCCCACATAGTCGTTCAATGTTCTCATGGCTGTTTATTACCAAAGATTTCACATAATAAAACTATATATTACAAACACCTTTTCAGTAATCATGCTCTGTGAAAAAATGCTGTCCTTGCAATGTAGAAGAAGCTTGCCAGCGGTTGTGGAAGGAGGTAATATTTGCTTATTTGCATAGAAATCCCAACGCTCTTAGGTTCACGTTCCCAGCCCCAAATTAACCCTGAGGAAGGTGAGAACTCCATGTCCTGGGCATTGTCAGAAGGGAACCTAGTTGCCAACTCCACCTGTTTGACAGCTTGTGAACTGTCAAGAGTATTGCGCCATAGACTGTCCATGTTTGAAAAAATACTCAGTCCCACAAAGAACAATGGCACTTTGCACAAGTAACTCTTGTGTAAGCGTCTACAAATAGTGGATCCAAGGGATGGAGCTTTGAACCAAAATTTGAGGTACCTCACGGACTCGAGGCTCTATCTAACTTTGTGTTTGTCGCTCAATATAGCTTCTATAGAATCAAGAAAGTCATTCTATATCCTAATCCGGGATATCTATCTTACATACTGTGTCATTGTCAATTTTCAAGTCACGTGCCCTTTCCCTGGTCTAAAGACAAACCAAGCAACAGCCACCCCAACATCCTCGACATAGCCAGTCAGGTTGAGGATGATGATAGGTTTGTTCTTGAAGGTGTCATCAGAGACGTTCAAAAGCGAGGTAAGTAGGGCCACCCACCGACCCACTCCCTTCTGAGCTTGTGTAGCTTCAGCCGAAGGACGCTGACGCTCAGCTTGCTTCAGGTCAGACTCGCAATTCAAGCTTTCAGGTAGCAGCATGTCCTTGGACAAAGGTAGGCTAACGACCTCTTCTGTCAAAGGTCTTCCACAGGTCCCCAACTCAGACGCTGTTAGGAACACATTGTCCTGTTGACCATCGATGTTGCACACAAGTCTCCCGCTGTTGAATCGCCTTGCCAGGATCTCTTGGGATATGAAACAAAATTGAAAGCAGTCAGTGGTCCAATCCATCATCATCATTTACAAACACCTGAGTCTCTTCTTTCACTCAGACATTTCATTGGAAGGTAGCCACTGTATGGTGTCAATAAAAGAATCTATAATTATATAGTCTATTGTCCTTGCCATGCTTCCAATCCAAAACCTCCTTGCTGGGGAATGTGGATTAGGAATTGTTTCTGACTAGCAAGGAGTATTTAGGCATGGTGTGCCTCCGGTTGGTCTGCAACTCTGCCGAAGGGTGAACTGAAAATGGAATCATCCACCTGGTGTCGCATGTTTGTCTCAAGGACCACATGCATGTCTGGACTTCCTGCTCCTCGTCGCAAAGACCACGTTTGCTAGTCTTTTTGGCCACCTCCGGCATCTCAAGCAAGCCAATCGAATGAGCAGGGGACTGGTCATTCACGAACTGCATGCACGCTGCCAACTCGCTGATGGCCTCAGAGCTCTTGGCACCAGGAACGTTGAGGTCGGCAATGCAAACTGTGTAGATGTCATCCATCTTGCAACTGCTACTCTGTGCCTGAGCTTCTTGTTCTTCAAACTAGAGGCGATCCAGAATCAAGACTGTTATGGTTCTTCTTTATGATGTTACTTGGTTTCCGTTTTGGAACCTTAGCAAAAAACAGACTTGAATGGCAAAACACAAAAAACTGTACCAAAGAAACTGCAAGGAACAACATAGGAGCGGAATTCATTGATCTTTTGTTGGGCCAGCTCTGCTTTATTCACCAGGTCGCACCGGAGAAACTTGTCCTTGTAAGCCTTGATGACCTTCTCACCCAGCTTGGCCTGCTCCAATCTCCACTGCATTCGCTTTCGATGTCGAAGGGCATCGATCTTCGCAGGAGCTTCCTTGATCACTCGCAACTTTGCCTGGTCTCGAGCTAAGGCCGCTTGAAAAAAGGTCCACCGGGCATCCCGAATGGCCAAGCGTTCCTTCTCAACCTCAAAGCTGTGCCCTTCTTCCTGTTGTCGAACTGCTTCCAAAGCCTCCCGTTGGGATGAAGGAAGCATGCTGATCCCAAACTGCGATGGCCTACAATCCAAGATTATCTGCAGCTCATGATCCTTCGTGCTCCCAGTGCAAATGGCATTGTCAAGCTCATCAAAGGAGGAGATGCGACTAGAGCAGAAGTCCCTGACTTGAAACCATAGGCATACTAAATTCCTCATGGCAAACAAGTCTTCCTCGCTCATCCTGTAGCGCTTTCTATCTTGAGGTTGGTCAATGATGGCTGTAGCTCTTTCGAAGGCCTTCCGGATCCTGTGAAAGAGCCAACCCTGTGCTTCCCCAGTCAATGGAAGCGCCCAATTGATGGAGATCGTGGCTTCATTGTTCACGGGCATCACATCACTGGTAGGCATTGATTGGGCTCAGGTTGGCACTTGAATCCATGAATAAGAACTTCATGATGCTAAGTTGCTCACCCCATGGGCCAAAAGCAAAAGCCCCATCCTTCAAGGAGATTTGAACCTCGGCATGGGCATCTGGTGAAGTCAGCTCAAGCCAATGCTTGATCGCATATTGCTTCTTGCCATCAATGAACAAGCTGCCAGCACCACTTCGGTCCTGTTGCAGCAGAGATTCAAGGATTGATGCTAGATAGTCTGTTGAGAAGGTAAACCAGTTCAGTTGGCAATTTCAAAGTGTCCACTACCTCAAACTACACTAGTTTATGGAGCACACAGCAAAACCTGTGAAGTTGAAGAAGGTGCTAGCACTCTTCAAACTTGAAACCATCAAGAAACCCCTCCTTGCCACTGCCAGAGCCATGTGCGCAGACCTCCGGGTTGCTGTTGTACATCTCAATGGCATCTTGGAGTGAAATTCCTTGGGAACCCTTGGGCTTTGGCATGTTGCTGAGGATCATGCTCCACTCATAGCTACTCACAGCTTGCTTCTTGGAATCAACGTTTTGTTTGATGATTCGTCGAATCATAGCTGATGACTCATCCCCCTGGGACTTGTAGAAAGTCGGGATGGCCAACAGGCTGCGTGCCAGCTCAGCCAGGGATGGATGTTTGAGTTCACCCTCATCCAAAGCCATGACATGGTACAGTAAACCAGCCCACACTAATGCCCCTGCAAGCCCTCGCATGCCACCATCATCAAAGCAAAGGTGGTTGAGGGAGGGCTGGAAGTCCGGTTTGTTGGAGGTCTCTTCATCCATACGCATGCCCAAGATCTCTCCCTGAATGAAACCACTTCAAGCAAAGTGTATGGCGTAAATCATATCTTCCAGCTATAGTAAATGAAGTCTTTAGCATTTCAATATTCCTGAAGTTGACAGTATGAAACATTCAATAATATAAAATATATATATATATATTCAAATCTTATGGTAGATGATATGACGACAATAGGACACAGGAGGGTTTCCATCAACTAGACTAGAACTGTTCCTAGGTATCTTGGAAATTCTCTCGGATGGCTGAAGCTTGGACTCAATGATGAGAAAATCTTGGTTCTGCACTTTGATTAAATTTGGAAGGGAGGGGCGGCGAGCTTTTCATGTTTGGAGGGGAGGGGCGGCGAGATGACCCCACAAACCCAGGGGGGGCGGCGAGATGATCCCATAATCATATCTGGGGCGGCGAGCTCTTCCAGGAAGAGCTCACCACCCCCTTCGGCTGTGCTTTTGCTCTCCGCTTTGAAGTGTTAGGCCCAACCCCTTGGGCGGCGAGCTCTTCCTGGAAGAGCTCACCACCCCCCCCCCCCCGACAGATATACCTGGGATCAGAATGAAATCTAAAGATTAACCCTTTACCTTTAAAGAATACATCAGACATAAAAAGATCAGTTGAGGCTAGCTATTCCTTTCCATTAGAGGCGGCTAGCTCTTCCAGGAAGAGCTCACCACCCCAACCCTCTCAAAAAACATCTCAAAGCGGCTAGCTATTCCTTTCCCGTGGTCCAAAAGTCTTGGGTCCTTAATCTTGGTTTGTTTTCTAGATCCCACTTCTGAGTGCAAACACCTTGAAAGACTCCATCATTCCCGGTTTGCCCGCCTCTTTCCATCCAATCATGGAAATGGACTTGGCAATGTCGAGGACCGTGGCCATATCTGGTATGCGCCAGAAGCTCCCCGTGTCAAAGTTCCACTGCAGGATGCTCGTCGTGAAGAATGAGCCGGCGCTCGGAGGGTAAGCCTGGAAGTATTTTCTGGTTTATTTGGAACTTGTTTCAAACAATTATTTGTATCTGAGATCTTGGAATCCTGGAAACTGAGATTGAACATGATAAAGACTGTCATCACAAACCAAGTAAACCAGAGTCACACTACATTGTTTTCAAACTGGGGTCCTTCATAGTGAGATACTTTTCCTGGAAATCCGCATCGGTGGCAGCACTGTCCATGATGCCAAGCTTCTTGACCATCTCCAAACTGTGGATCTTCAAGTTGTCTTCATCAGACCAAACTCTTTGAACCATTTCTAGGAAGGATCCACCCTCCAAGAGTGGCCACTTGAGCGTGTCAGGAAATCCATGCCTTCCTTGGTACGCCGTCGAGATCCACTCCTTCAGAGACAGGCGGCTTGGCGCCACATCACCCAAGCTCTGAGGAGGGTTGTATTTGCTATTGGCAGCAACCTTTTGGCGCTTTTTGGGCGGCATCGAAAGAGCAATAGTCGTTACAGGGCCAGAGGGTTCAAGGCTTGAGGGAAAAAAACAATTTCAAGCAATGGTTGATTGATTGACTGCTTACTGCCCAACCCCAACAAGAACCTCAACAACAAGATGTTGCTGCTTTCACAATCAACAAGCACGTTGAAATTGAAAACAAAGAGTCCACTCACATAGCTCGAGTCTGAACTGAAGCGCGTTTAGCCTTTTCCAGAATTTTAGCAGTCTGATTGGTTTGGGTGAATTTCTGCTTCTAATTTTCATCGAATTTCCAACGAACCTTCCAATCACATTGGGTCGCTGGGACAAGTCTATTTGCAAGACGCAAGAAACTGTCGCCAATCACACTGTGTGACTAGCTGATCTTGATCAAGGTTGGGCGCCCAGTTGGCCAGGATCGAGACCAAGGCTGCCACAAGAACAGGCGATGCAAACCTGAAGCGCTCAACTTGTCGCTGATGAGTTTGGAGTGAGCGAATGACCATAGTGATCATCTATATACTTCATGATGGTTGTTGTTTTTAATAGGTCAGGAGTCAGTCAGAACCCCATTCAAACAACGCTTGCTTCTATCAAAAACTCTTGATGGAGCAATTGTAAATCAGGTCAATTAAGCTTCCATAATCAGGTGAGGGGCGAGTTTCCAATAAAGCCTCTCATAAAGGCATCGGTCTCCTTGCCCATCCTGAAATGGGACCATTCCTCACCCCCAACTCCTTGAAGGCAACCGAGCTCCTGGCGAACGGGGACACCAACCAGAATGCCGAACGTCGACTTCATTGCTATAGCTTTCTGGTGGCATGGAATTTGTTGGTGGCTGGTACTCTAGGGTTTGCTCATGTGGTTTCGGCCCTTTTCCGATAAGAATGTATCATTATAGTTGTTTTGGTGTGAAAAGCATCCACTAAAAAACTTAGTACAAAAACATTCTCCTTGGCTGTCAGTTGGCGAAATCCAGCTTGGCCCGTTGCCAAATACTTGCCCCCAGGGATGAGACATGAACAGGTGTAGGGATCTGATCGGGGATAGTTCTGGCGAGCAAAGTTCTGGTCCTGAAGTTGATTGGTGATGTTGTTCAAACTGATTGGTATGTTTTTTTCAAAGGAAACCAACCATGTTGCAATAACGCGGTCTAGAATCCAAACATCAAACAATTAAAGGCTGACCACATATTTCCAAAAGAACAATGATGGTTCTTGGATGTCGAGGTTCAACCTGGATGATAACAGTTTCCCTCATTGCATCCACCTTCCGGGCCACCGCAAGCTCTTGAACAGCACAAGCTAAGATTGTCAGTTCCCGCTCGCTGCATGTCTTGGCCAAAGGTCGAAGGGCCGCCAAGCGCGCCTGGATCGCTTCCTGGAGCCGTGGCTGAAAGGGCTGTCAGGGAATTTAATCGAACAGTGTGGTGATGGGTCGGGTGTACCTGTGTAACTATACAAAAACTAATATACACACATTGATCCTTGAAATATCATCAATGATGGCTTTGGATTCTGTATTTGATGATTCTGATGCTTTGGTTTTTGTGTTTTAACAATGCCCTGGAACTGGATGCAAATCCTAGTGGAGGTTAATTGGAAGTTAGGACCATGACAGTGTTTCAAAACGCAAAGGGAAATTAGCCCACTACACACCCCTCCTCACCATAGAGTTGGCATTGTTCTTTGAACCCTTCTTGCCACTTCATACCACGTTTGCTTTCGTTCTTGGATGGGTTCTCGTTGGGCTTGAAGTTTGGCAGGCCAGGATCCAAACAAAGCGAGATTGGCGCATAGCGTCTAAAAAACCGTTTCATATCAGAGGCCAATGATTCAGAGCCTTGCAGCTCAGATTTCTGGATACACAAAACCCAAGCACGTCTTCTTTGCTGTGGGACACCAAAGTCAGCGGCATTGAAGGTGTCAGCCGCCAGCACATAGCCAAGCTTGGACAGCCTGGCCTCGATGACCTCGTACCTTGGTTGGACGTGGTTGGAGGGGCTTACAAATCAAATCTGGCTGTTGGAATGACAGCATAGTGCTTATGTTGGGTATCACGACAGGAATAGTCCGTGTGCATTGTTAAGCCAACTAGAATATCTACCCAAGTCAAGTAGATTTACTTTGAATTATTTCTATTCCAGGGATGTAGCGTAAACATTGGTCAACAAGAATTTGCAAACAAGAAAGGTCAGCTAGGATACCCTGACTTGCCACCTTCAGCCTTCCTCTTGTAGAAGAGGGATGCAACGTTCTCTATGATTATCATGCTTGGCCGGTGCCTCCTGACATAGCCTTCCATTCCAAGGTAGCCTTTCCCGGATGTGCAGGTCTCATCCAACACGCTGCCAGGGGTCGTGGTGAGGGTTGAAACATCCACGCAAGGAAATCCGCCAACCAGTAGGTCCACCTCAAAGGGAAGCACCATAACAAATGTTTCAATCGCAACTGTTTTTTCTGTAGTTGTTTCGCCTTAAGTAGTTAAAAGTTTGAACCGTGCAAGAGGTTTCACAGAACAAGACACAACTTTTCACCAGAACTCATGTACCTCGGGAACCTTGATGGACCCACCGTCACTTGTTGGTGCATGTAGGCGAGTAAGGTCTGTGACATCCTGAAAAATGGGTACCCCTGGAAACCGCTCTGCCAAGTACCGCTGCTTCCCGCGATGGATCTCTGCCATGAAGCGAAGATCTACCTGCCCGCTCTGTGGCTTGAAGCGGCGTTTGGGTCACTGCATGATTGGCCACCATCTTACA